ATTCAGCGGATTCAGTAAGGCCTTTGACAAAGTTCCAAGCAACATGCTCTTATAAACAAAGGACTTACAAGTTTGGCGTCAACAAATGATACGGGCAAACTTAAAGTCGTCTAGTTAGGAAACTGTGCATAGCGGAATACCCCTAAAAACAGTTTTAGAACCTGAATTGTTCCTCCTGAATGTAAATTACATTCTTAATCTCCTAAAATCAACAGTTTTCTTATATACTGACGATCTCAAGATATGGAGAGCGATAAAAATGAAGGTGATAGTTCAGAGCTTCAAAGCGAACCATAGGAATGATCTCGGTGGTTTAGAATTTGTTAGTTGCCGACAAATACTTTAAGTGCATTATGACTCATATTGGTCACCAAGGTGCAAATACATACACAGTGAATAGCATTCGGCTATCTGTTGTCCAGACGCACAATGACTTAGGAGACGTCGTTAGCCACATTATTTATTTTTTAGTAATTTGTTACATGCATATTGGTACAAAGGGATACTAAATACATATGCGCCACATGATAACAGCGAGAGTTTAAAGAAACAGAGAATGCAAGTTGCGCATAAGAAAAAAAGGAAAACAACGAACAGAAAAAAAGTGCATGAGAGAGAAATAATAATAATAATGAAAGAAACAGCTCAGTTAGAAAAAGAAGAACCAGAAAAAATTCTTCCAATTAACGAAGTTACGTCACTATTTAGGAAGGCATTCAAATGAGGATACAGCAAGATCGCCACTAGCTTCTATTCTGAGCCATATCTGATAACGTCTCTAGCCACTGTGTTGCACCATCTCTAGGACCTCAATTAGGAAGTTGTGAAGGACCAACAAAAGCCAGTCATGCACAACATTCTTTTATATCTCAACACTATGTCATATACTGACCACCTCTCTACTCTTCCCAACCAGTCCCAGCATCGACAAATAATGCACGACGTGGAATTCTCTGGGACGACATTCGTAGAACATGTCCAAGCCACCAAAGTCGATGTTTCAAGATGGTGATACCAATTGGATTATCGTCTCTGCGCCCGAACACACGATACCAAACCTCTGCGTTACTAACATGGCGTTGCCACTGGATGTCAGCAATCCTTCGGAGACAACGATGATCGAACACAGAGAGTCGTCTAACATCCTCAACTCGAAGAGGTCAGGTTTCACAAGCATAGAACAAAACTGCTCTCACCGGCGCATTATAGATCCGACCTTTCACAGCCAAACTAACGTCACGAAGGCGCCAAAGGTAGCCCAGATTGGCATAAGCCGCTCTGACTTTCACTATACGTGCATTGATCTCATCACTCACGCCACCACCAGCACTTACGCAGCGACCTGGATACACGAACTTCTCAACTACTTCTATCTGCTCACCACCCAGGGTGAATACAGGATTAGAATCCTGCCAGTCTTGTAGAAGTACTTTGCACTTCGAAGGTGCAAAGCACATATCATACCTACGGACGTTGGTTGTCAACTGATTAATTGCAGATTGCATGGCTTGGGTATCATCGTACACTAAGACAATATCATCCGCACACTCAAGGTCGAGAAGTCTTTCTCCAGACAACAGGTCCACACCGTCATTACCTACATCCATCAAGGCTGTTTATAGAACGTCACTGATAGCAAAGTTAAAGAGGAATGGTGAGATTGGGCAACCCTGTCTAACCCCATCGGTCGAACGGAGCAATTGAGCCAGGTGGTTGAATGCCTTTACTCTGCCTGAGGTGTTTGTATATAGGGTCTTTAGGATGTTACTAAACTTCTCAGGCACACCCTTCCTCGATAGACAATCCCAGAGAACAGTCCTGTCCAGCGAATCGAAGGCAAACCTGATTTTAAAAAAGACTATTATAAGTATGGTGGTTTTCTAATATTTGGCGGAGGGTGAAGATATGATCAATACATCCTCGACCAGAACGAAAACCAGCCTGCTCCTCGTTAGTTAATCTTTCTCGGGTTTTCAATAACCTACGAAGTATGACGGAGGCCAGTAGTTTGGACACAATCGGAAGTAGACTTACTCCCCATAGTGGTTACAGAAGCGACGCAAACCCTTTTTAAAAATAGGGACAACTATCGATTCATTCTACGACGTTGGAACACTCTAGCCAGAAACAGGTTGTGGTCTGCCCACAGTTGCAGTAGACGGTCCCGTTATCTGTCCTGCGACCAACAAGTCCCCATCGGCCACCTAAACGACTCTCTTCTGTGCCTAGACGCCCGACCTGAGAATTCAAGTCTCCGGCTAGTACTACAATATTTATCGAACGCACATTCTGGAGAAGAACAGTTAACTGGTGGTAGAATTCATCCTTGATTGCATCCGGGCTGCAATCTGTCGGAGCATAGGCGGAGATGACGAAAAGATCGTTTCTCACGCCGATTTCTTCTTATTTTGATGGAACTTTCTAATCTAACAACACATGACCGACTGTTAATGGGGATCCAATCGACTAGTGCTGCCTCAGCTCTATCGCTTAGTGCGACACCAACGCCAGCAAGACCAGACGAAGATGCCACAGGGTCCCCGGATAAACGCACGTAAAACAAGCTTATTGAAGCGACAGATGGAGAGCGAATTTGTAGTACTTCACCAGAGTCTTGAATACGGGTCTCGGATAGACAACAAACGTCGATACTAAGACTTTCCAAAGATATAGCCAGCCCTATCTGTTGTCCGACCTGCATACGCGTGCGAACGTTGAAGGCAGCCAGTTTGAATGGTGCACGTGGTTTCAGAAAAACTGTCTCAGCATTCGTGTTCGGTGGAAGCACTCAACTCTCGGCCACACAGTGACTCAAGGTCGTTTAGATAGGACAGGGTTCTCACCACAGGGGAGTTGCTGTATAAATTAAAAACAAGAATACAACGTGAGAATAAAAGAGAGTGGATAAGCGATATAGTATGTAAAAAAGTAAAAATAAAAATGAGTGTTTTCAATGGATTTGAATTATCGGAATTTTTAACTGAAGCGAGAATAGCATTTCCAGTTTTAATTATCAATCCATTTGATTTCTGTGTGAGCTGTGATACTGTCTGAGCGCCTAGAGAAAAGCAGGTGGTTTTCTTAGAGAGCTACACCCTCAGCCTTTTACCTAAGGGTTTAATCCACAAGGTAGTGGAGCAATGTTAGGATGGCATTTGGGGGCACTATACAACGCAACCAACCTTAATACAAAAATATACTAGTAAGAGTAAGTACAAGAAACACCGTGCGACCACTGTCACATGGACCAATGCATGGCTCGCAATTAATTGATGAGCGCTGGTTGTCCTTGACCTTGACCAGGACCGATAAATTGCCCGATCTTCAGTGATACAACTCCCGGATATTTTGGAAAGGGCCATGCCATTTCATCCAGATCCAACAAGCGTTTGGACTGGTTCCAAATACATCGGGAGTAGTCGTGCGCCAGAGTTAGCTGAGCGATGCATAACACCCGGATATTACTGAACTGAAAGAAAAATGGAAAGGAGAAGGCAACGACTGTTCAGGAAATAGCGAGTATCAACAAACCTGGTTATGTTGGATTTGTCGATGTGGTCAGAAGTATGGCCTGCAGGCTGGTTGAATGCTAAGCAATTAACAATTAAAGATATTTGTTTGAGGCAAGTGAGAGTAGTTTGAAATCAGGAATTCTGAATTGTTTAAACTTTGTCTCTGGGTCTTTTAGTGGGATCTATAACCACAAGGTCACTTGTGGTTCGTTGGTGTTAGTAGTATGGCGATGCGAATTTTCGTTGTGGTTAAATTTATTTATGTACTGTAGAGTGCTTTAAATACCGTTTTTTATGGCGTCCTTTTTCCAGCAGAATTTGATTGTGAGATAAGAAAAGCTATCTACTAGCATCATTTTGTATTCTTCCTTACCTCCACAACTTCCATATGTCGATAGTTTCTGAACATCTGCACATAGTCCTGAAACTCGGACTACTGTCATACAAGACGTAGATGTACACCTCAGAAGTTTTAGTACCCTAATCTCCCTGTTTAGCGTAAATGACATAAAATTTCCGAAGTTTCTCTAGATCTGAGAAAGTCCCCAAACTTTTGGAAAACCACTAGACTTTGAGGAAGAGCATTGGACTTTGTGGAAAACCACCAAGTCCACCCAAGAATAGGGAGACAGATATGTTACAGGATTTTCTACCGGAAAATCGTCTAGCATATTGGATTAAGATTGTTTCAAAACCATTTACACGTGAGTATTGCCGCGCAGGTAGTGAAGTTTAGACCCTTATTTCTCCGATAATTACCCGCGGGGGTTTTTCGCGAGTCTCACACTCATCTCAGGTTTTTTAAACAATATGAAATACTCTAAGGGGAACTAAAGTAATACTCCGATATCTGGAGCTAATCTTCAATTTTTTTATCACTTGAATCACTCTATTAAGACAGGCTTTTATTGATTCCTCAATATCTACTGTTTAAATATTCTGATGTGCTGCAACTAACAGCAACGACTCTGTCACTTATATTTTCACAATATTGGATACCAAAAAAGACTAATTGTTAACCATTTAACAGTTTGTTTAGTTTTTGACTGGCGTTCCACCTAGGACACGTAAATGGATAGATTCAGTGAGTCTTTAGGCCAATATATTTTGCTTTCTAATTGCCTGTTTTCTGTGTTTCGTTATATTTTAACTCTTCTAAAAACTTTGCAATCGTTTTGCTTACTTTAACAGTCGGAAAACTTCCTTATTCGTTATAGAATCGCTAATTCCTCAAAAGGTGTTTGATTTTATACAAATAGGTTGCTGGGGTTCTTTGTTCGCCCTCCGATAATTTCCTTTCCCTAACACCTTCGATCCATCTTCGCATGTTTCGCTTCAGTGAGTAGGTTTCTGGGTCAGCGAAATTGGGCCAGGGGTTTGTAATAGGGTGATCATTGATTGTTTTAAATGCAAATATTTGATATAAAAATTGGACCTTATTACAAGTTTGCTCATTGTATTTGTGGTTTCTTTTGTAAAGGAGGAACGATGCACAGTTCTGCTTTCAGCCATACTGAACCTATGACTCTAGGTTCTCCTCCAGTAAACTCGATTGGGACAGGGTCAAGTACTTCACCAGGCACTTGCCAATATCTTCCAGGATTCTTAATGAGTGAAAATCCACAGGTCTTAGAGACGGTGTCGACAAGCTCAGAATCTAAAGTTTCACGCCAAAATGCATTTTCACTTACTGGGAATTCGCACAATATACCAGTGAGTTTTTCAAGTATTATGTTGAGGGAGGTTTTATAGTTATGTTATCTATATAATATCTAAACTCACAGTTTAGTGAGTATAAGCACCTATAAGCTACTTAGATTTCATGGTGGTAATTGTTCCTAATTCTAGTAATTGGACCTAACCAACATGTTTTTTGTTATTTGCTATGTTTGGGAACAGTCCAGCTGTATCTTGACAGTTGAATGACAACCGATTATATGATAATTCATGGTCATGGCATAAAGCAATTTAATAATATAATGCATATTATAAGTAAACTGAATCTTATTTATTGTCTTTTTTAAATAAGGATGTAGTTGAAATCACACCAATCGATAACTGTTTTGGTTGGTCTCATATTCTCTAGTGAAACGGATTAGTAATCGTCACAGTTGTACTGTGACGCACCGTGGAACTATTTTTAAGGAGTGCATGTTATTCTTCTGCTTTAACAAGTGAGTTCCAATGAACTTGGAAGATGCAACGGTGATCAGATTAGGAAAAAACACAGTTCTACGACGTTATAAGCATCCGAACAATATTACTATGTGTCTTTGAAGTGGCAGCATAATCCAACCTAAGGCCTCCCCACGGCGTTGCTGGATAGTAGGGGCAACCTTGCTAGCTCCGAAGTATAGCCATTCGTCTTAACTACTAAATCATAAATTAAAAACGATTTTATTTGACAGTTTTCAGAATCGCATGCCGAACATGCTTGCATTGGTCAGCAACAATGCAAGCATGTTCGGCATGCGATTTTCCCCCTCGAAATGCAAAATGTTGCTTCAGGATTGGGTTGCATCGACACCCGAACTAATGATAGGGAGTGAAGTAGTTGAGCGTATCGACCGCTTCACTTATCTTGGAAGTCTCATCAGCCCATGTGGTCTAATGTGTGACGAAATCTCAGCACGGATACAGAAGGCTCGACTAGCTTTTGCCAACTTGCGTCATTTATGGCGTAGGCGAGATATCCGTCTATTAACCAAAGAACGTGTTTACTGTGCAGCAGTTCGTTCCGTCCTACTTTATGGCAGTAAGACATGTCCGGTAAGAGTATAGGATATTCGTAGGTTACTAGTATTCGATCATAGGTGTCTTCGAAACATTGCTCGCATTTCCTGGGACCATCAAGTAAGTAACGCAGTTGTTAAGGAACGGGTACTAGGTAAGGATGGCAAATCCATTGATGAAGTGGTGAAACATCATCAGTTGAGATGGCTGGGACACGTGTTGCGTATGCCCAACGACCGACTGCCTCGACGTGCTATGTTCAGTGGTATAGGAGTAGGTTGGAAGAAAGCTAGGGGCGGTCGGACCAAAACATGACACAAGTCCATGAAGTCACTGACAAGTGGACTGAGTCATGTTGGTAGGTGTAGACTACCTGGTTGGGGACCGCGAGATGATAGCAGCCGATGGTTAGAGACCCTGAATGACATGGTTCAAAATCGTTTGCAATGGCGCAGATGCATACACTCTTTGTGTTCTCCTAAATTTTAATCTCCTGATTCCTTCTTGTCTCTTTTTTCTCTTTCCAAATTTATTTCACTGGATTATACTCTTTAAATAACATCTCCAAACCCTAATCTTCCCTATTACTGCTTGTACTCTTACTACCTCTACCACTACGGGATTTGAATCGACAACTGCATCTCTGTGCTTATGTGGTATGGCAACTCGAACTGATGTACGTACGTACGAAGTTCTACGTTGTTACTGACTGACTGACTGAACTAGATGATTTCATGGGTTTTTACGCACTATGCACAATTCACAACGTCTAGCGTTTTAATGGGTTGTGAGAGTCATGAAATATTAAATCCTGTTGAACGTGATCGTTGGGACAGCAAAAGTTGCTGGTTAAATAAATACTGGTACAGATATTTCTCATAGATCAAAAACAATCTTTATAGACCATCTGTTAAGAGTCGTGTTTGCAGTGCTTCTTATATCTGAGGTATGACTGGTTAGTAATGATAATCTAATCCAGTTGATGCTTAAAAAGCCATATATTTTTCGTGTTAACTTCCACACACTAGCTGTACCTCATTCAAACAATTGAATGTAAGTTGATGATATTTGTCCTCTTGAACTTTGCCCCCAAATGCCCTGGTATGGCCGAGAGTGGGGTGGGCCCTCCCTCCCTCTCGAAATACTCTCACAAGGCCACGCGTATACAGCCTCTGCCGGGGAAGTCATACTCACTGCCTTCTCGTGACAGGGGTGTTGTTTACGAAAATGAGAGGACGAAAAACGAATGTCCGGCGCTTTAACCGGATCCCAAACCAATGTTGCACATGGGCTCCAGTATCCTGCGGGAAAAAATGGCGTATGAACCAATCGTTGGACACCGGCTACCATGGGACTGCATCTCCTCACGATGCTCCACTGCCGTGTGGGCCAGACCCTTAGGTCAAAGGCTCGGGGTGTGGCTCTCAAAGAAGACCACCTGATTCGGTCTGGGCACCCGGATAGTATCACAGCCCACACACAAATATGATGAAATGTCGATATTCATGGAAGGTACTTTTCTTGCTTCTATTAACAATCAAACGATTCACGTTATTACTATTATTGCTATTTACTACGCCAATTATTCAATCTCTTTTGTTTCCACTTTATGTATCCTTATTTTTAATTTATACAGCAACTCCCCTGTGGTGAGAACCCTGTCCTATCTAAACGACCTTGAGTCACTGTGTGGCCGAGAGTTGAGTGCTTCCACCGAACACGAATGCTGAGACAGTTTTTCTGAAACCACGTGCACCATTCAAACTGGCTGCCTTCAACGTTCGCACGCGTATGCAGGTCGGACAACAGATAGGGCTGGCTATATCTTTGGAAAGTCTTAGTATCGACGTTTGTTGTCTATCCGAGACCCGTATTCAAGACTCTGGTGAAGTACTACAAATTCGCTCTCCATCTGTCGCTTCAATAAGCTTGTTTTACGTGCGTTTATCCGGGGACCCTGTGGCATCTTCGTCTGGTCTTGCTGGCGTTGGTGTCGCACTAAGCGATAGAGCTGAGGCAGCACTAGTCGATTGGATCCCCATTAACAGTCGGTCATGTGTTGTTAGATTAGAAAGTTCCATCAAAATAAGAAGAAATCGGCGTGAGAAACGATCTTTTCGTCATCTCCGCCTATGCTCCGACAGATTGCAGCCCGGATGCAATCAAGGATGAATTCTACCACCAGTTAACTGTTCTTCTCCAGAATGTGCGTTCGATAAATATTGTAGTACTAGCCGGAGACTTGAATTCTCAGGTCGGGCGTCTAGGCACAGAAGAGAGTCGTTTAGGTGGCCGATGGGGACTTGTTGGTCGCAGGACAGATAACGGGACCGTCTACTGCAACTGTGGGCAGACCACAACCTGTTTCTGGCTAGAGTGTTCCAACGTCGTAGAATGAATCGATAGTTGTCCCTATTTTTAAAAAGGGTTTGCGTCGCTTCTGTAACCACTATGGGGAGTAAGTCTACTTCCGATTGTGTCCAAACTACTGGCCTCCGTCATACTTCGTAGGTTATTGAAAACCCGAGAAAGATTAACTAACGAGGAGCAGGCTGGTTTTCGTTCTGGTCGAGGATGTATTGATCATATCTTCACCCTCCGCCAAATATTAGAAAACCACCATACTTATAATAGTCTTTTTTAAAATCAGGTTTGCCTTCGATTCGCTGGACAGGACTGTTCTCTGGGATTGTCTATCGAGGAAGGGTGTGCCTGAGAAGTTTAGTAACATCCTAAAGACCCTATATACAAACACCTCAGGCAGAGTAAAGGCATTCAACCACCTGGCTCAATTGCTCCGTTCGACCGATGGGGTTAGACAGGGTTGCCCAATCTCACCATTCCTCTTTAACTTTGCTATCAGTGACGTTCTATAAACAGCCTTGATGGATGTAGGTAATGACGGTGTGGACCTGTTGTCTGGAGAAAGACTTCTCGACCTTGAGTGTGCGGATGATATTGTCTTAGTGTACGATGATACCCAAGCCATGCAATCTGCAATTAATCAGTTGACAACCAACGTCCGTAGGTATGATATGTGCTTTGCACCTTCGAAGTGCAAAGTACTTCTACAAGACTGGCAGGATTCTAATCCTGTATTCACCCTGGGTGGTGAGCAGATAGAAGTAGTTGAGAAGTTCGTGTATCCAGGTCGCTGCGTAAGTGCTGGTGGTGGCGTGAGTGATGAGATCAATGCACGTATAGTGAAAGTCAGAGCGGCTTATGCCAATCTGGGCTACCTTTGGCGCCTTCGTGACGTTAGTTTGGCTGTGAAAGGTCGGATCTATAATGCGCCGGTGAGAGCAGTTTTGTTCTATGCTTGTGAAACCTGACCTCTTCGAGTTGAGGATGTTAGACGACTCTCTGTGTTCGATCATCGTTGTCTCCGAAGGATTGCTGACATCCAGTGGCAACGCCATGTTAGTAACGCAGAGGTTTGGTATCGTGTGTTCGGGCGCAGAGACGATAATCCAATTGGTATCACCATCTTGAAACATCGACTTTGGTGGCTTGGACATGTTCTACGAATGTCGTCCCAGAGAATTCCACGTCGTGCATTATTTGTCGATGCTGGGACTGGTTGGGAAGAGTAGAGAGGTGGTCAGTATATGACATAGTGTTGAGATATAAAAGAATGTTGTGCATGACTGGCTTTTGTTGGTCCTTCACAACTTCCTAATTGAGGTCCTAGAGATGGTGCAACACAGTGGCTAGAGACGTTATCAGATATGGCTCAGAATAGAAGCTAGTGGCGATCCTGCTCTAACCTCTTACTTTCTTCATAAGTAGTGGTTGTTTCTTCCTTAACCGATAGATTTCTTCTGATTATACTTTTCCGTTTTCCACATTATTGCTGTTATTATTATTATTATTACACTACCTTACACTAATCTGTTCGTTATTGTTCGTTTGCTTTACGCTCCTTGCCTTCTTTTTTTCTTTTCGAATTTTCATTATTTTGTGTGGTGCATTTATATTTAGTGTTCTCTTGTACCAATATTTCTGTGTTCAAATAAATAAATAATAATTCTTTGCCATATATAAAGTCGTTATGTGGTGATCCACTATTCATAAGCTTTTTGCTTGTATTTGCAAATCACTTTTTTGTTTCAAATTGTAAGCGATTCGAACTAATCGATTTTTGCATAATCTTGATAGGGACCTATTTTATTTGATAAGTTACAACTATGAACACTATTTTTTACATCAATCGTTCATCTGATTTCTTTATATATTTTTCTAGGCTTCACAGTATAACAACAAACTGCAACCACGCTATTTAAGTCAAGCTCATGATTCAATTGGACGTCGTTTAACATCACCTCCTACACGAAGTATGTGGTCAACCGTTGGTGGTGCTGGTGTCCGTTCAAAGCCCAGCGCAGACAATTTCGGTGGAATAAAACACAGTACACCAAATTATACTCTTGGTTCATCGACGAATCCTCCTGTAAAACAAATAGGTGTTAGTCCTTTCCAGTCGCCGGGTGATTCTAGTTATCATCGAACACCTTTGCATAATGTTGTAAATAATCGCCCACCTTTAGTTGGGTCACCACTCCATAATAACAGTATTCTTGCAAATATAAACGATGGGAATAAGAAGCAAGATGTTATTAGTACACCTGATCGTTTAGCGGAGGCTTTGCTTTCACATCGAAGGTAACCTATTTCTCCAAATATTTACTTTACTCGTTCACTTGGGCACACTTATTCAAATGAGCTTTGTGGGTAACATGCTACACTAAAGTAACGGAAGTGATCCTAGTTATGAAAAGCTAATAACAATTTGACTTTATTCCCAAGTAATTTATATGAGCCCAAATAAATGTCGCCCTGATCACATTCTCACTTTTCATGCCATAAAATGTAAACGGGTGGCATATTCCTTGATTTGCAGTTAAAAATATATTATTATCCAGAAGGTCTTGTCAGTACTTGTTACTGTCAGGTTTACACTATAGTATATCCGAAAACCTGCAGACATCGAAAATTCCCTTTGCTTTTTGTCTGTTACTATTAGTTTGCACTAAGAACCACATCCGTGTACATGTTTATTCGATTATGTCGAGTATCTTTATGAAGTTAATTTTTTCCCTGTTACTTATCCATCAAAATAAGCTAATGAAATAGTCTCACAAAGCAGAATCTACTAATTAATTGATATAAACCTGTACGTAATTACTTTACAAGGAGTCAATCTGTTGTCATTCTCTTGTTGGTCGATTTCGTTTACTAGTGACATCTATCTGCTTTCCAAGTATTGAGTATTCTGCTTAAAATTTTCCTTTGTAGATTATGTGTTAAGTCCACTGTTGATCTTTAATAGTCTTTCCATGAACTGTAATCTATCTCGTCAATTTTGTAGATTCAATCATAAATGATTACATTTCGACAAGTAGATCAATATGCGCCTATTATGATGTTTAGTGGCCATATACTTAACTGCTTCATTTTCCATAAACTTTCTAGTTGATTACAATACAAATAAAATGTGAAATGTAACAATGAATTCGAAAAGATAACATTGTCACCATTCATTACAATAATTGAAGATTGACCTAATCTGTTTAAGAAACTTAATGTATACATGTATGATTTCTAAGCAAGCATTGCTAACTGTTATTCATTTGACCTTATTATTCCTTCTTATTTGTTTCTTTCATGCTTATTAGTTCCAACGACTTTGATAATGCGAATCCACATGATTGTTGGGTAACTGTTTTCGGGTATGTGTGTTGACTATTTTATGTATCCTTCTCTATGTTAACATTATTACAGTACACATTTAAGGTTACTCATGCCAAGTGTTGTAATAAAGGCACTTTAAATGTGAATATTATTATGAACTCATCTCCAGGTATCGATTCATGTACTTGGCTTTGAGCCATGCTTCAATTGTAAAGGTTAATAATACTCTCCATCTACCTAAACCGAAGTAGCTAAATCGAGGTTCAAAACTAAGGATATGTTAATCCCTAATTTGGCCGTAGGAAGTGAAGTTGTTTATTTTACCAAGAAAATTTTATTTTCAGCAGCTTGCTGACCTACGAAATCCCATCACTCTCAAAAAGGTTCATATACCTTTTGCTAACTCGAGCCGTTTGTTGCATAGTTAAGATATCCATCCACCTATCAATAAGCAAAAATGCTATACAACAGTTTTTTCTGTATTGTTTTGGGGCTGCAAAACAGCTTTAATTATTTCGAAATTGTATGGCTTGGTCGTATTTAATCAGAAAAATTTTCGAAGGATTGCTCGTATGTGGTAAGTAAGCAGCTCGTAGGTTAAACGTAGGCTATTAGTTAGAGATGGTACATCAAGAAACCTTATCACCTAGGTAGTTGGAACATATTTTTATGTACGCCCAGCCACTTACTTCAATGCACACTGTCGGGTGGAATGGTAATAGGTTGGAAGAAAACAAGAGGCAGCTAAATCAATATGTGTTATCATTCCATGGAGTCGTCAACCACTGAACTAGAGTATGTTAGTAGATGCAGATTACTTGATTAGGATCCGCGCGTTAACCGTTGTCAATGTTTTGAGGGGTTGGGTGACATGGCTCAGAATTAGTCGGAGTGGTTTAGATGCATTTATTCTTTGGTGTTCATTTTGATAACTCCAACTCATTGTGTTAGCATGGTATGAGAACTTAAGCTTACGCAATTTTATGCCAGGTTCTACGTTGTTTGTGATTGACTGGCTGAAATGGTAGATGAATAAATTTAAGCAATAAAATGTAACCTATCGTAAGCTATCTCGCATTTAGTAGGTTATGATTTATGATCTGCTTTATGTCCAAACTTCAAAAAAGTTTTCTTCTATCTTATCACGACCTAAATTTAGGTTCCCTCCATCACGAGCTGCATTTATTCTTAACCAGTTCGCTCAACTGGGTACAATAGAAAAACATGTGGTTAGTGTGTGGTTTTATATCTTTTGTGTTTTAACTCATAGTACTTATTGTGAGTCAGTAGCATAACTCTTTAATAATCAAATTAAGTGACTATTTATGCAATCTGAGCTCTTTTTTTCTTAATTACCTCTTAGTTATAACTGTACATTGGTGGATAGATTTTGTAACTGAATATAAAATTAGTATCGGCCAAGTGATTTTGGTTTGGTCAGCCTATGAATATCTAAAATTAAGAATAAAACATAAAACGAGAGCTCTTGACTCAGCATATACAGAGAATAAACTAAAATAAAAGCGTAGAAGTGGGAACAGGGAATAGGTTACTTAATACAGAGAATAGATAGACAACCAGTCAGTTATTAATACTGATTACGCAATAGCACATTGTAACGCATAATACTCATTGAATAAGGTGTTTAGTAAAGAGATTTGTGTGGTCTGAAGATGGTTCGTGTAACGAACTGAAGAACGATTGGGAAAATGGTCAGCATCGGATGTTTTTTTGTTTACGGGCTCCTTTTTGTAATGAACAGTGCAATATAATACGCCGTTGAACCCAAGAGCCACCTGCAGGTTTTGCAACATTTACTGTACCTTTAGATCACTGGGTTGGATTCCTGGACCGAATCACTTGTAAAATTGTGGGTTTATGTTGTTTCAGAGTCCAAAAATATTCTATTCCTTATTTCTTAAATCCCGATCAACTTATGATTTCTTATGAATTTATTATTTTAATTGTATTCAGTGATAGGGTACATCTAGGCAAAACTCATTTTCACATTTTCAAGGGTTTAACACTCGAGTCACATTCAGTTAGAATTCTCGCACATATCCCATAGTGATTAGATTTACTTGTGTTGAGTGAAGCAAGACGGGCGTAACATGGCGAACATTTCATAATCAGTCAAGAAGTACTGTATTAAACTAGAACACAAGTGGGGGCAATCGAATGCATTTGAACACGAAATCACAGAATATCTCACTAAAATCTGAGAACCATACAGTAAATTTTCAAAATATCAACCAGTCGTCTCAAACTTGACTGTTTCTTTTGCAAGTATCAGTCCATCGTCACAGATTTCATCGTTCATGCATTTTCATGCTGATTACGTTCCGTTTCCGTTCTTTTCTTATCGAACTTCTACTGAAATACATTCTAATCCCGACTATCGTTATATACTACTTATATGAATATAAGTAGCTCACACCACAGTACCACCATTATTATCGCAGTCCATCAAAGAATATATGTAACACCATATCGAAATTCTCATATCTAATTCCATTTGTTGGCAATCATAATAATCCTTTAAATAATTGATGATAATCGTTTTCCATTCATTATTATCCAATTTCAAGATCTCTAGTTCATAATCATTGTATTATCTATATCTATGTTTCTCCTTTCAAAACTTCTAGATTACAAACAGTGGTAATTGGATGCATATTAAATATCAAAATAAAATGCAAGCTCATTGTGCTTTAAATAAAAATGGTAAAGTATTCGGGGATAATACCATGGTCGGTGTATCAGTCTGTAATGATTCGGTAAGGATGGAAATGTCTTTTTATTACATATATATATATATATATATATATATATATATATGTTTGCGTTGAAGTTTTATGCCTATTTAAAAAAATTACTTTCAATAGTGTCAATCATTAGGTCAGATATTCAATTCCATTTTTAGTTCATAGTAATTTAAGTAAGCTACACTTTCTAGTTTTCATTTATTAACATTTAACTAGTTCCCAATCCTTACTAGACAGTTTATACCTTACCATGGTGGTCTTTCTTGACTTGAAAGCAACACTTGACTCGGTAGACTGCGAGATTCTGTGGCAGTGTCTGTCATTGAAAGGCGTACCCCAGAAGTACATAGACCTTGTAAAGGCTCTTTACTCGAACACTACTAGTAGAGTCAGAGCTTATGGCGAACTGTCATCTGCTTTTGCAACCTCAAGTGGTGTCCATCAAGGCTGTCCACTTTCTCCATTTTTGTTTAACTTCATCATAGACCTACTGATGGAAATAACATTCTCGTCGACTGAGTTCTCGGGTATTGATCTCCTACTAGGAGGTTCACTTATCGACTTAGAATACGCAGATGACATAGTCCTGTTTGGTGAAGACGCTGACAAAATTCAGAGTCTTTTGGTAGCACTAAGCAACAATGCCAGAATGTTTGGAATGCGCTTCTCTCCCTCGAAATGCAAGTTGTTGCTTCAGGACTGGTCTGCGTCAACACCTGATCTAAGGATAGGGAGTGAAGTAGTCGAACGCGTTGACAACTTCACTTATCTTGGAAGTCTGATCACCCCTAATGGGTTGGTGTCTAACGAAATCTCAGCACGGATTCGTAAAGCTCGATTGGCTTTTGTCAACTTACGTCACCTATGACGAAGGCGAGATATCCGTCTATCAATTAAGGGACGAGTATACGATGCGGCATTCCGTTGTGTTTTAATTTACGGCTGCGAAACATGGCCATTAAGAGTAGAAGACACTCGTAAGCTACTAGTATTTGACCACAGATGCCTTAGAAATATTGCTCGCATCTGCTGGGATCACCGGGTAAGTAACAGTGAGGTTAGACGCAGGGTATTAGGAAATGATGGTAAATCAGTTGATGAGGTTATGAATCTTCATTGACTGAGAGGGTTGGGGCACGTGTTGCGTATGCCTGAACACCGATTACCACGACGTGCAATGCTATCCGGTATTGGAAATGGTTGGAAGAAAGTTAGGGGCGGCCAAACCAAAACGTGGCACCAGTGTTTGCAGTCACTACTTGGTTGGGATCCGCCTGACTATGGTAACCAATGGTTGTAGACTGTGGGTGACATGGCTCAGAATCGATCGCAATGGCGTAGGTGAATACACTCTTTGTCTTCCCTTAAACTAAGAGATTAAAATCACTTCATATCTTTCTTTCTACGAACCAATTCTTTCTTCTTGTAATATATCTATATGCGATCTTTCTCATATATTACCACCTTTGACATAACCATTGCTATGAATCCGGTGTTCATCTTGTGGTGTTAATGTGGTATGGCAACTTGAACCGATGTGTATATGTTTCTGGTCCTACGTTGTAGCTGACTGACTGACTGACTTACAAGTATAGATTTAATAAGTTCTTAATATGTTACCTTTCATTTTGCTTTCACCACTTTCCCATTATATGTGATAATTTTATTTTAAAAGTTTAAATGAAATTGAAATAATTCTAAACCGTTTTAAGATGTTATCGTTTCACTTCGCGTGGAGCCTCTCTGGGGCTACTGTCTGTCTTAAACCCGGATAAAGGCGGAGGGTTGGGTATGGGGTTAGCGACCCCATCCCGTAGAAAACTAACTCGTTAGAAGAAAAAACGCTAACCAGTAAGTAAGTGAGTATCGTTTCACTAAGTGACGTTGTGCCGACACTATAAAATGTTAGTTTTCAGGAAGAGTCTATTTTTTGTATTTGATAGTTTTTAAAATATTCTTGACTATTATCTCTCAAGTCATGCAAAACGTATGTTGCTCACGATTCTTTGAACTTCTTTGTATTGTGACTCTCAATTGGCAGTGTATTTCTCAGAAATGTATTCCAGAGTTAGCGAATAATTGTAAATCTGGTATAATTAGGGACCAAGGAAAGTATGCACTAGACAAAATAAGATAACACCATAAGGAACACAATGAGGGAATAGAAGTACAATTAAAAGATGAGTAAATAAGAATAGTATTTCATGCGATTGATACTTCAGTTCGAAATGTAACCAGCAAAAACCACTTTCAGTTAAGAGAGTCCCACTGTAGGATATTACAATTAGCTTCTATTCTGAGTCATTTCTCATAACGCTTCAAGTCATTGAGTTACACCACCTCTAGAACTGCTAACGAAGAGTGTTGGTGAACTGACAGATGCCAGTTCTATGGAGCTTTCTTTCATACCACTATGTCATTTCATAACTTCGACCACCTCTCGATTTATCCCACCCAATCTTACTGTCAACAAATAATTCCCAATGTGGAAGCCACTGGGGATCACATTGATAAAATATATCTAAGCAATCGAGACCTGTATTACAAGATAATAGCATCAGATTAACTATCACTACCGCCCCCGATTATTCATTCCCATACTTCAATGCAGTACCTCCAAATCATCTTGGGTTGTGACTATCTGGTTAGCGAAAACAAACCACCAGCATTATTAAATCACGTTACATATTTATCCATGAATACATAGCTTATCTCTTTTAGCTTCGTACTTTTCTAGCATTTTTTCCGTGTCATTTTCATACTTATTTCAAATATGTTTTCTCTTTTATTTGTAGGAAGTTATGAATGATGAAAAGTGTGGCCTGTTTTCAAAGCAAACAAACCCATGTAGCATGAATGATTCCTTATTCCTTAGTCCATCAAATGTTCATCATAATCCAATGAATATGAAACGTACTACTGATGAAAACTGTAAAACAACAACCGGTGCAATGAATAAAACACCATTACGCGACTTAAGCGGACTAAGGTCGTTGAATGGTGTCGGCGGCGTTGGTAATGGTGCAACTAACTCTGGCATTGATTCTGCTAATATTTTTGCAGACAAATCAGCAAATAATATTGGAAGACATAATTCTATGCGATCATTAGCTGCATCGACACGACCAACAAATTTATCACGAACTACTAGTGTAAGTCTTATTATTGAATTGTTATCAAACTTCCATAGTTTAAATCACAAACTTATCGTAACTAGACTGACTATCATTGAAAACGAAGAAGGATTAAATAGGTGTTTCGTCTCGGTGTAGGACTCCTCACTCTATCTATGTTTAGTTACTACTGTGTTGTGAAACTTATTTTCAAGGGTCTTAGTTAATATGATTCATTGATATTACTTAATAATTACTGATTAGCTCTTTTTGTCATAGTTTAAAATTCACCGGGTTATGTACATAATCAGTGATTTGTGTGATCACATTCAAAAAGCTACCATTGTCCTAAATATCACTGGCCTAATATTTCATCGAGTACTTGATGTAGTGCTTTGTATCAGTTTCATAGATTAAAGGATATGAAATGAGAATAAGTGTAATATGAAATCTTTATTCAATTTACTGTATTTTCATTAGTACATTAGAGAAAGTCAGTTAGTCAGTCATCTACAACGTAGGACCAGGAACATATATACATCGGTCCAAGTTGCCATACTTCATTAATACAACAAGATGGACACCGAATTCATAAAAGTAGTTAATTCAGTGGTGATAATATATAGAAGAAAGATCGCCTATAAGGATATAGTACAGGAAGGAAGAATTAGTTGGTAGAAAGAAAAATATGAAGTGATTTTAATCGCTTAGTTTAAGGGAAGACAAAGAGTGTATTCATCTACGCTATTGTGATCGATTCTGAGGCATGTCATCCACAGTCTACAACCATTCGTTACGATAGTCATGCGGATCTCAACTAAGTAGTCTGCATCTACCTACATGGCTCATACTAAAAGTTAGTGACTTTTTGGACTGATTCCACGTTTTATTTTTGCCACCCCTGACTTTCTTCCAACCATCCCCAACACCGGTTAGCATCGCACGTCGTGGTAATCGGTGTTCAGGCATACATAACGCGTGGCCCAACCATCTCAGTCGATGATGATTCATAACCTCATCAACTGATTTACCACCATTCCCTAATACCCTGAGTCTAACCTCACTATTACTTACCCGGTGATCCCAGCAGATGCGAGCAATATTTCTAGGGCATCTGTGGTCAAATATTAGTAGCTTACGTGTATCTTCTGCTCTTAGTGACCACGTTTCGCAACAATTTTTAGTTAGTTGATCTAAGTTGGTAACTTAAGTTTGTCAAGATTAACTTAAATATTACTTATTTGATAGTCTTGTTATACACGAGGAATATTTTAAAGAAATTACCGATGAAATAGATGTATTCTCATAACAGTCATCATCACGAAGAAGAAAAAGTATTAAAGACTATTTTGTTTTCCTCTTAACTTTCAATGTGCTACACTGGGAAACTTCTTGGGTGACTTAATGGGTTGGACTTGTTTTATGAATATAATCTCAGCAACTTCCACAACGGGAATTATTTGTTGACAGTAAGATTGGGTGGGATAAATCGAGAGGTGGTCGAAGTTATGAAATGACATAGTGGTATGAAAGGAACATGCATAGAACTGGCATCTGTCAGTTCACCAACACTCTCCGTTAGCAGTTCTAGAGGTGAATCAACTCAGTGACTTGAAGTGTTATGAGACATGACTCAGAATAGAAGCTAACTGTAATATCCTACGGTGGTTTTCTTTTACATTCTTCATAAAAGTGAAAGGGATTCTCTTGACTGAGGCCTGGAGCCCCCTGGGGCTACTGCTGGCCCTAAGCCCGGATAAAAGAGGAGGGTTGGGCAATGGGTTAGCGACCCCATTCCGTAAAATATTAAATAAAAAACGCTAACCAGAAAATATAATATTTCGAACTAAAATATCAATCGCATGATATACTGTTCTTATTTAGTCATCTTTTAATTGTACTCCTTTATTTCTTCACGATATCACCTCTTTCTTCTGTATGGCACTTAGTATTTTTGATCTTCAGGAGTACAAGTATCTATGTGTATTAAATAAATGTATATAAGTGACGATATTCTCGCAGATATCAACCTCTCTCAGACTTCATTTAACATCCTTCCTATAGTTTTTAGTTAATAGGCTTAACTAACTCATTAATTGTCGTTTTTTTTTAATAAGAAAAAGACTAGAACAAAAAAAACATTATGCAACTTGGATAGCTGTTCATTGGTGAATCAGTTTGGTTTTATATTTATTTGATAAATATTTACCAAACAGTTGTTTTATGATATTTTTCTATCTAACCCTGTTCTTCAACTAATTAAATATGACAAAATTTTCTTTATTGTTCCTAAATTATATTTTAATTTAATAGTTGAATTCATGAGTCAATTAAATCTAGACCATCATGGAAAACCTGGAAGGATTTGACGACTTTTTTGTCCTAGTATGAGACTCCTCAGCGTTGCGCATCCACGATCCCATACCTCGGGACTCGAACCCAGGATTTATCGGTCTCGCACGCGAACGCTTAACGTGTAGATCAATGAGCCGGCATTCAACAGTGTTAATGTGTAACTTCAACCAATCGTAGATGCGCACTGCTGAGAAGTCCCATACTAGAACGAAACAGTCGTCTAGTCCTTCCGGGTTTTCTATGGTGGCCTAGCTTTAATTAACTCATGAATTCAACTATTAAATTACTAAAATTTCCACAAAATCATCTTCTGATAATATTTTAATTAACTATAAATCTATCGCTCAAATTTACGTCAAAAACAAACTTATCCTTGTACTTATTGTGAGCTGGTATGTAATTTATATTGCCGAATTATTTGTCAGTTTAACTAATGAAAGATTATTTGACTCAACTCATTTGGTGCTCTAGTTGATAGTCAGCAGAAAATGTGAGACGTTTTCATGAAAAAGAGGGTTGTTCATTATATTGAACAGATTATTAACTGCATCAGTGAGATTAATGTGATTGGCATAGGCGGAAAATATAAAGATAATTAAAGATAATTAATGTAATTTGCCTTAAAATGTGTTTGTCTGACCAGATTTGTCTCCAAGTAGAGTCTTACTTAATATTCTCTCTAATTCAAACATAGAATAGATTAATCCTGCTTGAATTTAGATAATTCTTATGTCCAGTGGGTTAGTGGCGGCCAAACCAAAACGTGGAATCAGTTCACAAAGTCACTAACTTCTAGTTTGAGCCATGTAGGTAGATGCAGACTACTTGGTTGGGATCCGCGTGACTACTGTAACCAATGGTTGTAGACTGTGGATGACATGGCTCAGGATCGATCGCAATGGTGTAGATGAATACACTCTTTGTCTTCCCTTAAACTAAAATATTAAAATCACTTCATATCTTTCTTCCTGTACTGTATCCTTATAGGCAATCTTTGTTTTATATATTACCACCACTGAATTAACTACTTCTATGAATTTGGTGTTCATCTTATTGTGCTGATGAGGTATGGTAACTTGAACCGATGTATATATGTTCCTGGTCCTACGTTGTTGCTGACTGACCGACTTTGTCCAATGGGATTTAATGGCGACTGTCATTCAGTTTTGTGTCTCTAAAGAAGTAATTGTTTTATAGATTAGATTAATCAACCACTTCACAACTTTTCACTAATCATTTATCTACTATCTCAAAACCCACTGTGTTTATACTTCCTACTAACAATATAGATTTATATATTATCGTTTTAACTTCATTGAAACTAATTGTTTCATTCATTACTATCGTCTATTTTTTCTTCTTCTCCTTCTTCTTCTTCATCACATTGAATAGGTTCGACAGGATAGAGATTCAGGATTATTTTCTAAAGCATTAGGTTATATGTTTGGCTGGTCATAGAAACAAAAAAAACCCACTTGACATATCGATATTCCTATTCAATAGACTGATTTGTTTAAATGTATCATTTATTGTCGTTGGTCCATGTCTCACTATTACATACAATCAGTTTCTTCTTCTCTTTTTTTAAAAAAATAAACAGTTATTGTTTCATCTTCTTTTTAACCATTTGTGAAATAGAAGTATTGAATTATCTTTGTACAACAATTTTATTCTTAATTTTTTTTGTTCACCTTATTATTCAAAAGATTTTATGAAGTAAACTACAATAAAAAGAAGTATTCGGTATTATTTGTTGAGTCTTAACCGGGTTGATGGACATGGAGAGTCCACCTAGGAGAGCTGGAAAACTCTGATTCCAAATCAATGGTGCACATGGGCCCCAGTCTCTTGAAGCAACAAATGGTGTATGAACCAGTCGTTGGTTACCGGCTACCATGGGATTGCATCTCTTTACGATGCTCCACTGCCTTGTGGATTAGACCTTTAGGTCGAAAGCTCCGGGTGTGGCCGCTTAGGAATACCACCTACTTCAGTTTGGGCACCCGGACAGTATCACATCCCTCACAAAAATCAAATGAGATTTGTGTGGCGCATTTGTATCTGGTGCCCCAGTGTACCAATATTTATGTGTTCAAATAAATAAATAAATTAGGTACTGCGTACATGATTGTTGAAGCACTGTTCATATGTGTTTGAATTATCATAAGACAAATACTGAGGTTATATCTATAGTATTAGGCAAATCAATCAGTCAATAATGTTGTGAATCTTCATCGATTAAGATAATTTGGTCATGTAATTTGTATGTTCTGTCATGGCCTACCTCGACTCGTGATGTTCGTTGGTCTAGGAATAGGTTAAAAGAAAAAAAGGGAAGGGAGCCAAACCAAGATAAGTTATCGGTCCATGAAGTCATTGACTGTTGGACTGAGTCTTATAGGTAAGTGCAGATCATCTAGTTAGGGTTCGCACAATTATAATCAATGGTCACAGATATTGGGTAACATAAGGCTGAGAATCGTAACCAAGTTGTTCCTACAAAATACGAAGGTAAATGCATTTGGACAATATATAAATCATAGAACAAAGATAATGCTAAAACTACGTCTATTAGTCATGAAGATGGAGAAATCCTCAGGGTTTAAGCATTTTTTTTTCGTACAAAATGACCATTGAGTTAATTACAAATCTAATTCTAATTACAAACAGTTAGTCCCTTTTAAAGCTAGTGGAGTTTTAATTTCGGCTTGTATCGAAGTTTTACTTAGTATTTATAAGTTTAATAGTGCAATGCTTCGTCACTCAGGGTCACTTTAAAATATTCAGATCAGTAGTTAGTACTTTGTCAAATACCGTCGTAGGAGTGGGTTAATGGGTTGAAGATATAAAAGGAAACCTTGGACCTAAGTTTCTCACTAGTTGGCGCTCGTTAGCAGTGTGTACCTGCGGTTTCAAGGTTGTTGGTCCCCTATGTGAGGTTCGAACCCACACCACCAGTCTTCAAAGTCCGAGATGTTACTATTGAACTATCTAGGGCGCAAGTGACGGTCCATTGGGCTGAGATATTAGCATCAGTTAATGAGAGTCGTAACCAGTGGTATGTTTTCCTAGTCCTTAGTGCTGACTGAAATGTGGATACTAGTCTAAATAACCTAAAAACGAGTGTTTTTTGTTAGATGATCGGAGGTAGGCTCCTGGTGACTACCCAATGATTAGTCAGTGTAACATCAAAACGTGGTTCACTCGGTGCTGAATCACTTAGACTAATGGCTGCATTACTACTCAATAGACAATTCAATCGGGACTATATAAACATGATACCGAATGATCTATCAGTGCAGAAACTTAGACGTTACCTTATGAATTATGGGGTGATCTCTCTTACCTCTACACTATCACAATGTTGCGACAGTATTCATGCGGGATCACACACTAATAGAAAAAAGAGGAGTCCTGTATAAGAGGACTCTTAGAATCTTCTGAAATATAGAATTATTACATCTGTTGTGGACATATAGTTTACCTACAATCTTGGAAAACTCAAAAGTATGACACCCAGTAAGGATATACTGTCGGTCATTACAAGGAACTGGGACTTCCAGTTAATAGTTGACTTAGTACGTGTCCCCTCAATGTTAGTTTGATGCCAGTGAAATAGCATTCTTTACAATATAGCGAACATAATAAATGTTTCTTAGTCATGTTGAATATCAGACATGGAGAGCAGAATATTTGAAAGTTGTAATAATTGCTTACCAGCAGTTATCAAAATAATTGGAAAGGACTAGAAATTTTAAAAATAAATGAAAACGGTAGATTATGGAAGATAGAAAGGAGGTTAGGGCCATGTAAGAGTGAGGTGTTGAATATACTGTTTTTGTGCACACATGTTAGACTTGAACTGCTCGATTACAGTAGCTTCTGCTGTACATAAGTTTTTCAATTACATTCCTATAGAGCCGACTCTTCTGATTGTATATATGATTTTGAAGGAGGCTTCTAATGAAGCGACGTGGCCAGAATTAACATGAACATTCAGTTTAGAGAAGATACTGAAACAGAAATTCTGAAAAATAGACTTTCAAGATCTCTAAGAAAAACGTGCTATTCGGCTAAAATTCTCATTACTTTTCCTAGTTGACCTATCATTTGAAGTTGTGTGGAGGATATGCTTCCACTTTAGACCAAATCAATGTACATCTATCAGTTTACTTGTTCATATATAGAAGGTTATACGAACTGCATAAAACATGTTCGTTCAAAACGCATCTCCGAACATTATCCTTTTTGAATATCGAAAGGATTACTCAAGTCAGTCAAAAGCTCAATCTTGAAGTATCTAGTCAATTTAACTTCTAATAATTCAGTTCTTAATAGATCTCAATTGAATACTTTACCATTTTTCACCAGCTGATTATTACGTAACCCCCCTTTCATGATCTGATTTTTAGATCTTGACAACATACTACCAAGCTTTTTAGATACTTAGAACCATTCTATCTTATTATAGAATACTACTTTGACAAATAAAATTAACTATGAATAGGATTATATAGCTTGACTGAATGTAATCAAAAAAAGAATATTCCACTGAATAGCCATCTTTCATAATTTATTGAATGTACCGTTTAAGTTCTGTATCAAATAAAAATTGATACACACGAAGCCACTGTGTTAAAACTTAATCAGATTAAGTCTAGGAAACTTCTTTTGGCAACGAAATGTTATGTGGATGAAAAGACCGAATGAGAAATGTCAAATAAACGCTATTAGAGGTAAACAGTTTCTTCAGCGCTAATTCACAATGACTACGAAATATATTACATATTAACTAGTCAAGTTCCGTTTTCTCCATTTCTCATATTCAACAAAAGCAATATTGAGCTTTCGACTGAGATCATCAGTCAGTTGAAGGTAGACCATTATGGAAAACCTCGGAGGACTGGTCGGCCATTTCGTCTTATTGTGAGACTCCTAAGCAATGCTCATCCACGATCCCGCCTCTCGAGATTCGAATTCAGAACTTGTCAGTCTCTCACTAACCATTCGACCACTGAGCCGGCGTTCAATGGCATTAATGTCTAACTTCAACTAATCCATGAAATTGATCGACACATCAACCATTGTCACCAGTGAGTTACAATTTCACAATACATTCGGTTGAATTCCACTGATCACTGCTTCCCATTAGAACTCTAGGAAATAACTGTTGAAACCAATCACTAGTGAGCATGTGTTAATTAATATCAGAATACTGATATAAAAATACATGGAATGTTTTATACCTGAGTCTTAATATGTTTCATGTTATGAAAAAGAACACCATCTTGTGATGTAGAGAATAAGAGTTATATCATGTCTAAAATGGTTACCACCTAACTGATATTCACAAAGATTCATTGAGAATTATGAGTTGAAGGAAGCTACAATCAGTAGCTCATCCAAATTTCTTCATCTCAGTTTAAAAGATGAGGATGTTACGATGTTACGTTATAGTATAAACATGTTCACAATAAAGGAATCCACATATAATATCTAAACTTATATCTATCAAATTACAAGTACATGGTAAGTAGTTACAATCAACAGAATAGAAAACCGACTTATTCAATGTTTTCGAACATGCTTCAAATAGCTTTAGGATAAATGGGATAAACACATTGAGTTGAACAGTTTCTGGACATTATATTGGAGACATAAAATAGTTCATAATTAACATCCAAGCATCAATCATCTAAAACTTTGATGAAGGTGATACTTTACAGATATAAAGACATGGTTTATGAGTTCAGAAGCAAATTACGATAAGTTCATGTAAATCTTGGAAAAGAATAATCACATTCGATTGTATTGTACCTACGTTTGAATCGAGTTTACTTTCTCCACCGATTCCAACAGCTAACTTATATTGTTGAACTAGAACTAGTCAATCAAAACTCATCAACACAATACTCAACAAACAACAGTTTCACCAAACAGTCAATAATCCCTTCACTCTCTTCTCTCCTTCTTCCCAATACATCGATTCATCCAAATCATTCGGACGTACTTCAGTGATGCATTACACTCAACAACAATTAATTCATGTATAATTATCATTATTACTATTAGTATTATCATATAATTATTCTAATAAATCATGTTCACTTATTGATCATTACCCTTTCGAAAATTCTCACTATCCATTTACTCAATACATAGATGAATTTCATGTAAACTGAATTGATGTAGATTGATGTAGATTTCAAATGAAACAGTTGAATAATGACAGTGTAATCATGCAAATATTAATGATAATGATGCCTATGATGGTAATTTGATCGATTATAAATGGATGCAATCTGTTTATGTGAGGAATTCGTTGATCGACTTGATTTATTTCTCAACATAATGAAAAGGATTAGAGTGAATAGGAAAATGATTTTCTCAAATGTACTGTGATTGTGATTGGTGATTGGCGAGTGTTGGAATGATCTGGTTGTTGATGTTGACTATTG